CCAAGGATTCGAACCTTTGTGTCTCGTCCACCAGTCCATCGTCCTCCCAACTGCGCCATTTCTTCATAGTTAAGCACGGGTTGGTTCTCGTATAAAAGCAACAAAGGGGCATGGCATCTGGGAAAGGGGGGCCCGTAATTTTGCTCCCAGAACCGTTTCGCAGATTTGGAATTCAGATTTGAGATCAGCGTTCGAAACTACCTACGTCGGTATACATCTTATCTTAAATGGCCACTGCGACTTGGTATCCTTTCCTAGACTCTAAGGCAAAGACAGTAAGGAGCGTAGTGCTCCTCTGGGCACGTGACTGTGACTTTTGGTATGCGACTTACCGACTAACTACCGCTTGGGTTACGCAAGATATCCTCGAAAAAATTGCGATCAACGGGAAAAACCTACGACAACCGGCACCACCTTCATATAAAAAAAAAATACCCGCGCTTAGAGCAGTTTTCGTAAGCCCCCACCCTGTCACGTTGCCGATTGAACTAGTGAATAAAGGCAACTTCTCAAGACCTTCTACTGTTTTCAATTGTATGCTTTTCTGAGCATGAATGCAGCGACAATATTAATTTTGCTTGGAATATACAAGGATATATCTACTTGCATGTCGCTGATTATCAGAGCGAAAATTTGACTCATGAAGTTAATCTTGGAGCGAATGTTCGCTAATCATGACTATTTCATGAACTTCAAACGAGGTCGCCAAACAAGGAGAATGAAGGCGGTGATATGTCTATGGCGACGAAAGAGCACAGAAATGGCGACTTCCCTCCTGACTTCACTGACGGCGATGAAGAGTTTGAGGTACTTCTGAATCCAATTCGAAATCAAAAGTTAGAGCTTCTGCATAAGTGAACATCTTCTCTTCAAGATGCGAGGCATATTTAAGGTTGAAAGTGCGCACAATCGAATGAGTAATTTAAGTCTTTGATTGCATTTTGACATTGCCACGAACGCATGCAACAGTAACTCCCACTTTCAGCCAAGATTTTTAACGGTGCTGTGCTGCTAATTGGAGCAAACGATAAGGCGTTCAATCATTTTTTTCTCGTGACGAAGGCTCTTCATAAGTTGGCTTGACAGCTTGGGCCTGATGCTGGTACCGACAACATTTTTATAGTTTTGTGGGGCATGCTTTTGCATGAACAAAATGCGATCTTCCTTCTGAGCTAGTTATAGTCTAACACTCAAAAGCTGCAGGATTAAGGAGATTGCCTTCAAGAGTCACAACCAGCACCGGACTATTCCTCCCATCTGGACATGGGTGAAGGGGCCTAGGACGTGCTCAATGTGGCAGAGGAGTAGGAGTCAGAAACGAGAAAGAGAAGAGGTTTCTTGGCTTGATCCGGCACATGGTACACCCAGCAGTCTGCATTTTATTCTCAAAGAGGGATTCTTAGAAAATAAACTACAACAGTGAGGAAGACAATCAGCAATAGATCACGTGCTGTTGAGTAGAACACCCCACAAAAGTAGGTATCAAAGTTATGCCGCGCGGATCGACTCTGAATCACAAAGTTCTTCCAGCAGACATAACCGCCGCGTTTTCCAAGTAACATAGAGCAGAGATCAGACAATAGAGAAGTGATGGAGGCAACACTGTGCGGAAAGGAATGTCTCAAAAGAAGGAATCCGGGATTGCCTTCCCTAGATACTCAAGGGCCACCCGGTAGACTTGCAGCAATGGTTGTAGATCATACTACAGTGTGCATGGAAAACATTGGGAGACGCGGGATGGACTCAAGGGTGGAAAGGCAGCATGGTTTTGGAGCGAGGAAGTTCAGCGAGTTGTAAAACAGAAATTGAAGGCATATGAGCTCTGGCAAAAACCACCATTAACACGTGGCCTCACCAGATTTCTTCGCACACGCAGCAGGCGACACCCTGCCCAGCAGGTTACGTCGCGATTTCCATGCCGTCACCACTGTGCTCTTCACTTTAGATGAACCGAACTAGATTGCACGAGTACGTTGCTTTACCGCGAGACGACCTCACAATCCCCACGCGTGAATCGCACCCCACCCCAAAAAGAGGTTCGAATAAGACCTAGTGTTCACGGAATCTGCGAGAGGCTTGCCAAGAAGCCATCGTAGCAGAGGCAGAGAACGCGGGTATGGTTGCCCGATAGGACGCTGTCTTCAGGCTGCCGAAAGCCCGTCATGGAGTCACTCAAGACATCAGAGTAGTCAAAGTCGTGAAGAAGAGCGTCGGAATCTAGTTGAAGTAAGGCGTAGGTGGGAGGAATGGCGATGTACTCGTGAAGGAAGAATTATACTACAAGAACGGCTTCTATATGAAGCGACAGCTGGTCCCACCACAGTTTGAACGGAAAACGAAGTCCAGCGGGCGAAAGGGAAAATGTATGTTGAAAAAGGGATTAGATTAGAAGAGATGTCGATTGATGCAAGGAAGGTGTTCGAAGAATACTCACACCTTGAACACTGTAACTGCTGAGAGAAGAATACCAGATGCGGAGCAATCATCGCTACCAAGCAGATCTAGAACGCAATGCTGTGTTCCAACTATACCCGGATCAGATTGACTGGCATGCCGTGAGATTACAGGAGAGGCCATCTTCACGGCCGGCCAAGTGATGGAGAAGTACAGGGAAAAGTGTAGGTCCTGCCACCATGATTTTTTCTATTGGAGGAGGCTTTCGGACGTTTTCCGAAATAATTTTTCTGTGGAGCATTCAAGCACGAAAAGTTGACGTTTCAGTTAGATTGCACCAAGGACCACTTTGAGCCCATTCCCCGTTCTACTTACAAAGGAGGTTATCACAAAAGATTATGGACTGCTGGAGACTTCTGTACCAGATGACACTGCACTTATAGCACGGTAGAGCAGAAAAGAACTTCAGGACAAGCTACAGGAATGGAAAAAGGGCTAGAGGAGATTGGGTCTCGCTGAAAGTTAAGAAGGCCAACCTCCTTAGCGGACAGTAGTGAAGCCTACGATTCACTACGGCACCGAGCGTTGTACCGTAGGTAAGGATTTCCCCGTTTCTGACCGGACCATGTAAGGAGCGAGGACACCTCAGTGATCATGCAACAGCCCTGTACAGCTGAAAGTGAGTGAGAATAGGCAGCGAAAGATGAACAGGTGAGCTCTAAAAAATTTTACGTGATAAAAAGGGCATTGGGAAACGAAACGAGAGCAAAGCGACAACGTGCAGGTTCGAAGGAAAGTTGAAGGGACCTGATCAAGAAAGAATTCTTCGGAACTGCGGTAGCCATAGAAGATGTTGTGAAGAGAAAAAAGCGGTGGCAAGAATTCATGTGTACAGCAGACCCTGCAGCTTAGAGACACTAACTCTAGGGAGAAGAAAAAATGATGAAACATCAAAAGTTGGCCTGCAGTGGAAACAAAAAGCAGGAACAGGCAATTCGTCAGGGCATTATCAGTCCTTAAAATCCCAAGATTCGAAATATGGACTGAATTTTTTTCTGGATTCAACTAGGATTTTGCGATTTCAAACCAAACGCCGTACTCAAAGCACATACACTTTGAATGCCAGATAGGATGCCTCTTGCACGGGGAAAGAGGATGAATTTTGGAAAGACAAGTGCGGCTGCTTCCGAGGCAATTGTTTGATGAAGTTCAGTCGAACTGATGGGACACTGAAGAGAAAGGCTCTATTATTTAAAAGAAAGGTTGCAAGGGGTAGATACAACTGCTGCAGGGATGGCATAGTGAAGAAGCTGAACATCACAAATTTCGAAGAGGACACGACATAGCCAACAGGCAAAATTTTACATGAGCGGTACTTGAAGCTATGAGAATACACTCCAGGTCCGAACATAGTATTCAAGATTAGCAAGTTATGGGCAGCGCAGGCAAGTCCATGCCGGAGTCAAACCCTTGTCGTGCATTCCGGGCACCAATACGAGTTCAAGGGATTTGGGAAGCCACATTACAACAACATTATCTCCGGCAAGTGATTAACGTAGGGCTGCCAATGTAGGATATCTTCATAACTCTGTCCAGTGGATAGCTTCGAAGAATAGAGAGCGTTTCTCTTAAATAAGCATAAGGGGGTTTGTTTGTAAATACCTAATTTCAACTTAACTCCTTAGTATCCATAAATAGGTGTTGTGCTGTATCACAGAAATCGATGGAAGTCGTAAGTTGCTGAATAGAGTCCTATCGTTACAAGAATTTTTATAGGTGTACTTGAATTGTATCAGAGTTGATTAGCTGTCAAGTTCAACTGTAACGTTCCTCTTAGGAGCTCCCACCAATTAGTGACACCAGTGACGAAGACGACGAAGACAACGAAGAAAACTATGAAGCTAATCAAAAAGTTATGAACGAAAGCTACGCTGATGATCGACCGTCGGTGAGATTGATGTTCGAATGGGCAAGACTTTAGGATTTTTCTGTTCAGTCTACGCTAAGGGTATAAGCGGCGAAGGATGAAAGTCTGAAAGAGGGTGCGAACCCATACAGGAAGTCGCGAGGCTAGAGGGGAGCATATCTGCTCCACAAAATCAACTAAAAACCAAAAATTAGAGCAAAATTTAGGGTGAAGACATAATCAAGAAGAATACTTCCCTAAAACTACAACAGGATCAAGTACGGCTACTCACAGAGCTAGGGTTTTAACGGGATTCTTTTGCACCTCGGGTAGAAACTGAACCACGAGCTTTTACGAAAACGTTTAGAAAACGTGATGAAAAGTAACGAGCTATTAGCAAGTCCCATTTTGTCCATGGCCGCGATGAAAACGAAGCGACAGATTCCAGCGCAGCTGCAGCTATCGAACCAACAGATTCGTAAACAGCGACGTAGAGGCGATTTATGCATGCGGACATTGGCACTGTAATTATTTCTTTCTACTCCATCATTGAACAATGAATCAATCATATACAAAAGTGCTTTTAGACAGTGAACCATGAAGCATTTTTTTCCGTTCAGGAGTCGCTCTCAAAGAAAGCAATTACAAAAGCGAAGTCAAACAAAACGACGCAGGTTCAAACGGATAGCAAAAAGGAGAAGCTCGTCCGCATCAGGGCAGGTGGCGTTTCTGGGCAGGACAACAAAGTGCGTTTCCGTTCAAAAACATCCGAAACTCTTCTCTTCGGATAAACACATTTACCAAATAGGACAACGGAAACACTTTGAAAAAGAGGCATTTTGAGGTTCCCCCATAAAGTAAATGAGTGCTAATTTTTGCGTTGTACAGTCATTACATCGAACCCATGTTTACGAGTTTAGCGTGTGTTGATGCGAGTTCGACGGTTATCTGAAACAGGTGATGAGGGAGAAGAATACGAAGTTTACGAGGACGACTGGGAAGAGATGGGTGCAAATCGGCCAACTGGTACGTAAGTTTTATTCCGGAAAGTAAGTACATGAGTTTCCCGGATCAAAAAGGCATTTCCTCGTGTCTCCTAGCACACCTGAACTGACTTGCCAGCAAGCGGACTTACTACATTAGGTTTTCGCTGATTTAAAGTGCCCAACAAACCGATCATGACCTTTCTTAGTTATGTAAATAATTCAGAAAGAGGGTTCATCAATGAAAAAATCGAGCACCTGGAGATATATGGTGTAGAGACGAGAGAAAATTGTAACTTTTTTAATCTCATCAATATTCAAGGCTCATCTCTGCAGGACAGAATGGCGTTCTTCATTCAAACTCTTTAAGAATCTTCTTATCAAGGAAGATCGAAAGGTTCGCTGTGAAGAGGAACTCAAAGATGGCATCCTATTCCAGCCAAAAAAATCTCTCCACAGATCAGAACAAAGTGCTACAACCACCAAGAGAGCTTTACACCCCATATTGAACACATGAAAACTTCACAATTCCTCAACAGAAGTTGCTTTCTGTATTCCAAGTAGAATGTGCTCTCAATCCGTTAAACTGGAACTAGAAAATTTCTGTAAAAATGCAGTCGTGGGATGCTGCTCGGCTATCTACTTTTCTGAGGTGATGCTTGTGCAGTGTCACAGGAACAAAATCCTTTCGACGAACGTATTTTAGTCCCATTCTTTTTCTCCGAAATGGTAGAAATGTATGTAACAAGAAACACCTCCTTTTGTGTTATTTGATACTATTTACAACAACCTATGTTTTAAAGAATTCGATGGGCTCAACTACAATCCTCTGATGATAACATCAATTTCGCCAGAATATGTTTAGAGTAGTTCTAAAATTTGGTCCAACGGGAGCACCCAAGATTACAGAAATTGAGTGGCTCTATAGGAAAGCATAGAGTTAATGGAGTTAAGTTAATAAATTAGGGTGTTGCTTCACTTCCTATGAAAAGAATTTCGACCAAGGTTAGACGTAACGCGTGCCATCAAACTGTAGGAGATGGAACCTATGCAAAGCTATTCTGTCATTTGTACTGAAAAATGAGCAAATTTCTTCGAATCAGCGACACGATTACCGCTCATTCCGCTGGCAACCTCTCGCTTCCATAACTAGGATGTAACAGCAAGCTTCTTGTTTGCTAAGCTTCGCATAACTGAGCCATCTTTCAACCGGCAGCCAAGTTGCCGCCTAGAAAACTGCTCGGGATAGACGGCTCGGTTGGTTTTTTGTTTGAACTAGGATACAATCTTTGTGAGAGCTCAGCACAAGAAATGAACGAGAGGGCCATGTTCAAGGGGTTTTATTCAGATCAGGTGGTGTCCAACTGAGTTGTATTTATTATACTTTGGTGGTGCTGAGACATAGGCATGTTCGCCTATACTGAAATAATGTTACGGGTCTCAGTGCGGTTTTTTGCAGCGGGGATCAAAAACTAGTTGAATGCATTACCGTCAGAGAAACGATGTATGTATATTTGCTTCAGCCTTTCCAAGATTTCATACTGTATAGGGCTAAGGTCCGCCTTCTTCAGAGTTTAAAGTCGAAAACCATTGAGATTGACTTTATAATAGGGCAAGATAGAAGCAAGACAGTTTTCTAGACTAAAGACCCCTCGAACCAGGTATACAAGAGGCTGGGGTCGGTATTTGGGTCCAATCCTACTTCGCACCTTCCTCGCCCATCCACTCACGCGCCGGTGAGGTGACCTCCCTTAATTGGTTGGCTAGTGAGCTTTCTGACAGTCTCAGTGAACTGATACGATTACATGAAGTGGAAAGTTTATCGTTATTATTATTATTATCATCAATATTGTTATTATTACACATTTTAAAACAATATGTAGTGAGGACAAGCAATGTCTGAAGTCAAGAGTATCACATTATATGAAAACCATGTAGCTTTAACAATGACGTCTCCAGACATCTTTTTGTATATTATTACTCTATTTTTGCTCTATTATGCTATGCACTATTGAATATGCTGGATTAGCACATGACGCTTTTCTCTCTTGCTTGCCTGCCTTTCGTTAACATACGTTTACGCTTGGGTGTGCTCCAGATTTGAGGTGGCTGGAGCTGCACCTAGGGTGTGTGGAAACTACGGGCTTTGGTATGCACAGCTCACAGTGATTTCGGGTTTTGAGGATAAATGGATGGAGTTTGGAGTTACAATATTTCTCACGCTGTGAATGTATTGTAGTTTCTCACTCACACATTCGATATTGCTACACGTCAACCTAGTGGTCTGTCGGAGAGGTCACCAGCAAACCAATTAAGCGAGGTCGCCCCGCAGGCGAATGAGTGGATGGGCGAGGAAGGTGCGAAGTAAGTAGAGTTGGACCTAAATTGACTCACCCCAAGAGGCTTACCTTGATCTAAATCGCCGGAGCGTTCGATCGACCACCCAGTGTTTACAATATGCATACAATGAGCAAGCCTACCTCCTTCCTGACTTCGCCGTAATCTCAAAATTCGCAGAGGTCGAGAAAGGGCGCGAGGTTACAGGTGAGATGAGTAACGATGTTACAAGGAAGGGTATCATAATGCTGAATATATGAGCGGTAATTACGTTCTATCAAAGGTGAGAGGTTTTAACACTGCTCAAGAAGATACGAAAAAAAATCTGTGTGGAAATATGGGCATTGGCGTCGGTTGAGTGCTGAGGAAAAGTCGAAGAGAGGCACGTGATTTCCCAACTAGCTTACAACGAATCAGCGAATAAGTAAGATATAATTTTAGCGTGAGACAAAGGAATGGGCAAATTTGAAGGGCGATGGCCGGAAGTTGAATTCGCCAGAACTTCGTTACGCTTTACTACGCGTTTACTCTAGCAGCTGATTGTTTTAGCTCTATTCGATTTTCGCGTAACGACAAAAAGAGCCTCAATTTATTTGCATCCGTCGCAGGCGTCATCACCCATCAAAACATCGTCAAAGTTACAAGGAGAAGATGGATAAGAAAGATCAGTAGAATCAAGGAGAAGTTTATCAAGCAAACGACTACATATATAACGGGATTGTTCCTGCGTCCTGTCGGGAATAACGAGACGAAGGGCAGAATCGGAAGAGATGTACTGCTCCGTTGCCTATGACACGAACTAGTGGCGAATGTAGTCCGCTCGAAGTATTGGGATTGTCCAGTTCAACAAATTTCGGAACAACGGTTCGAAGCTGGATTTTCCTGGATTCTTTGAGCATCTGCTCTTTCGGAGTCGGAAGATCCTGGTCCGCCGACTTTGAAAGTAACTAGCAGTGGATAAGCAAAGTCGGAAGGAGGCTCATAGATTCAGCAATGGCAGCCGAGCAGTAGATGTCGGGCCATACATACTGATGCCGTACTGATACTGATGCCTCGAAATGTTTTTACAAGATGAGTAGCCTTAACAGCATAATCATCCCTCTCGCATATGGAAGTTCTTTGAGCCTTTCCCACGCCACGCCATCGAATTTCCCTGTCAAAAAAACGTTCCTTCCGCTTCGACGTGCATGTTTTACAACGGACTTTACCCATTTGCACTCTCTTAGCGGCAAAGCCATAGGAAGAAGCTACTTTGCTACGGCGTCTTCTGACATACCCTAACCATAATACGACCTTTAGCGGGCACTAACGATTGTAATCCAGAAAAAGAATAAAAGTACGGTCGTTGATGCACTGCGTTGGCTGAGCCGTAGACTGATTGCCAACATGAAGAAGGTAACCCGAGCACTCAGGGATCTCGTAATCTATGTGTATAACATCCTTGCAAAGGATAAAAAGCATACAGGAATTTTTTTTCGGCATGAATCAATCCCGTCCGACAGATGCTCCCCCGCGTTCAACTTCCATCCAAGATCGTAGGGGCGTAATGAGTGTGTGTATGGGCTATGCAATAACTTGTGGTGGTTAGCCAATGTACAAGTCAGTGCTTTTATCCTGCTAGGCGGGTCTATTACCACGTTACCGATCTCGGAGGGATGGCTCGGTTGACCTAGGGGAATACCGATCCGGGATCCCATCTCCTGACGTGTGAGATAGTGCGCCACCTGCTACTACATCACCTCCGCCCTCACTTGCAAAGTGATAGTGGCACAAATGTCCAACCGGCTTTAGCCGAAGCATCTCAGAAACATTAAGTTTAGAATTATTTCGGACATATGAGCATCTGCCCAAGTACACACCAATGTGCATCGCGACCAGATCGTTATAGGAAAAAAAGGAAGTGACCGCGAGGTGGTATACGCATAAAATGAGATTAAGTCTTATTCGGTGCGATACGGAAAGGGCAAATGAAAAAATTCCAGTAGAAACTACCGAAGGCCCGCAGAAAAGCACGTGTGGAATGGTTATGATTGTGGAGCAGATAAGGTCTGCACGAGATATGGGGATCAACTTCCAGTGCATTCAATGCTCAATTATTTGAGGTTAGAATAAAAACAATGTTATGAGGCCGCCATCAAATTTGACAATGCATCGTAATGCACGATTTGCCGGCAAATTAGACAGAAAATTGTCTAGGACGCAAGATTAGTTGCATACATCTGTATCGCCCATAAGCCATAATAAAATTGAATTGATAGAAGTGCCCTCATGCAGTGGCGGTGTTTCCGCTGTTCCACCGTGTGAAAGGTTGCCAAAACTAACACATCGACATTCTAAACCTACTTTTCTACACCACAATATGGCTTTGTTGGTTTCATGAAACGCCGGATTTGAATCTCCAGAGTGTGCTCTCTGTAAAGCAATTTTTAATAGCTCCCATGGAATTGCTGCGCCTCACGACAGAAAACCAGTCGGATGTTCAAGTTTTGAATGCAGTGCTACACCGACTTAGAATTATTCAAGAGAGTTTTCTCCTTCTTATTTGTTTGGTTATTCCTGAATTCCTCAAAAGGGCGGTCCTGGCCCAGGAAGTTTGTTTTAAGAAGAACGCTATCTCTGAGTCATGGCTATCTGTGATCTGTACGCACCTGGCCTTCTTTCAAGAATTCACCACCCGATTGCTCTCATTTCGATAGGCTCATGGTTCCGTTCAGTCGTATTTTTTGTTGTATACGTTGAATAGGTGATAACAACCACTTTTAGGTAAAGAAGCTTCGAGAAGGTACATTCACGAGAAATCTATATTCCAAGAGTTAACACACCTGAAGAGAATGCAGATCCAATACGGAAAGGTGGGTTTGATTGAAGTTATCTCGCACTTCATCTGATTTGAGCTCATAAGTCTGTTTGAGGTACAAGAACGCATACTTGTGCGATCGTTGGTAGGAAACTTCTGTAAGATGCATGGACTAGATCCTGCGCATTTCAAGTTCCAGACATTCTACTCATGGGAGAAGTTCCTTTACGGTACGTAATTTTGCACGAGGTAATCAATCACTCTGCTTTTGACTTTCGAAGTTTCTCAATCTTTCAAGCAGGTATATGACTGTTTGAATCTTACATTCCTGTTTAAAAGCACAGTTCACGATAGTTCGGAGGTCCTTTGAGGTCTGTAGGTTGGAGGGGAGCAATGGTGGCGAAGAGAGCGGAAAAATCGGTGAAATTGGTGACATGCGAGGCTTTTCAAAAGTAGTGGAAATGAGAGGTGTACGAGATCCTTTACGGGATTAGTGTTGCATGAAGAATTGAAGTGTCTACATCTAGCCAGAAGTGTTCAAAACTTCGTCCTACTGTCGCCATGGGTCACGACTAGTTGTTCGAATATCCAACATCAGGGTATCGAGTATACCATGTGAATGGTGCAGCCTCTGCAACCCCGATACAACCGCCTCTGGGTGTGGCATACGGTGGCTACAATCTTTGAGCCCTTATTACGCCCTATCTATGGTGTCCTACGATCCAGTAGTGCTACATACGGCATACTTGGACGCCGCAGATTAACTCTAGGGCGATATCTCGAAATACATTTTATCATGTGTTTGAATTCTAATTATGTAGGAGTTATAGTTCGAGAACAGCTAAAAGAATCGAAATTAGAAAAGTCTTCGAATCCATCCAAGCATGATGATACAGTTTTACAATTGGAGCACCGTCAAATAAGAGTGTAGTTTCACTTGCTTTGAAATCTACCTTTTTTGTAAGCTTGGAAAGGGTTACTGCATATTTTAGTACAAGTGCCTCGTTCATTATTCAGTATGATTAATCCACATCTCGCGTTCGAGCGAAACGTTCCTTCATAGAACACTACCTAGTTCATCGTGTTGTCTGTCTTTAAAGGCATTCACGATGAAAATGGTTTTTGGGATATCCTCCTAGGATGAGCTTGTAACACTCCCGTGCACGGTATGTGGAGCTGTAAGATCGGAAAGCGGCCTACATAGGGGGAGAGGGTTTTAAGGGTGCTGTAGAGGCTGAGCCATTGACAGGGGACATCCGCGTCGGAACTTTGGGTAACGAGTCGTGAGCCATGGCGACAGTGGGAGACGGTTATAAAGGTTCTTGACTAGATGTAGTAAACAACCAAAATCTCGTCCGTCCATCAACTAAAATCTTACCAGGCCACTCCCGCCATAACAATCTCGTGCAAACCCCATTCTCACTACTTTTAGGAAGCCTTATCAACCGTCGGCGGATTTGCTTGCTTTCTTCACCACCGATGCACTGTTGTCCACCGGTGCTAACGCTTTTCATCTAACCTTCCACCGTTTTGTTTGCAGAAGCTTTGGTAGCGATGTTTCGTCGTTTCAAAATCTTGCATGTGTTTTGAAAAAGCTTTAAAACTGCCATCTGGGAAAGCTCATTGAGTTTCCCATAAGGCAATGACTGACTGAAATTCAAGTCTGATGGATCATAGAGGTGCGCTCTTTGGTTTGAAGACCATCAATTTCAGACACGCTTTCAGACCAACTGAAGTTAATCTACATGGAAGAACGAGCCAGACTGACACATGCGAGACTTGCACCATCTTCACGGTCGACAGCAATTGGTCGATTCGAAACGCGCATACGACAGGCAAGAGCTATACCCCTAAGCAACGATCCGGTGAAGCGCATGAGCCGAGTTTACGGTAGCAGCACGATGACTAGCGGAAAGTCGGTTGGGAAGAAGAAGACTGACAAGCAAACTGGATTAGTAGGTGGTGGGAAAAGATGTGACTGCCTCGGGAAACACCTTTTGATCAAGCAATAGTGATGTCTCTGGTCTCTAAGGGCTCTGAAACCTCGTGATTTTTTATATACTTCACTAGTTCTCGTTAAAAAGCACATCCACATAGCTATCGCATGGGAAGAGGGAATGGAGCCAGACTGAATTTTTGAGCTACGGGAGTCAACCATACTGAGTGGTTTGTCCGAATGTATAGGCGAAACGAATCACTCTTCAGCTCTGTATTTATACAGTTAGTGACTACATTTACGATTTTTTATCACCTTCAACCTGTGAAGATGGTACAACCTCTGCAGAAAAGAAATATTATGCCGGTTTATCGTAAAATGTATCTTTAAGGGAACACATTCAATTGTATTTCCTCTATCTAACTTTCGTCATTGTTTTACCTTCTTCAATATTATTGTGATCTTCCACATTCGGTGCGTTGTGAGCGTAGATTTCTCAAGTGACCATAGGGTTATTAGAAGAGATTCACTTTATTTGTATTATATCATAAATATACCTGCTCACCAGTGTTGAATTTTTCGGGACCGTGGTGATCGTTTGATCACTTGCTTCAAGGTGAATGATTTCACTTCTGATCTCTGTTAGATTAGGATCCAGTAAAACAATGGAATAATGTCCAACTATCAAAGCGAACATCTGTCACAATGCGGTCACCTGCGGTCCGAAGACGAAAGGTTGAGAATGTAGCGCTTATTTTCGGGAGACGGGCGTTAGGAACGATTTTGGGTAATCGATTCGCCGCACGCGGCTGTCGCGGACCACTCATTCGCCGTCATTACAGCTCTAGCGTTCTTCATACAGCTCAATCGATATACGATCATTACTTTATACATAATTCTACTATTAGCACTTTTATTCCTGTATTTCTTATCTACTGCTGCATCCTGCTACATTCCTTCGCGCGCGACGCCCTCTCACCGCGACGCGACCATTTCGTTCCTAACGCACCACACCCCACGGATGGAGACCCACAGTGGACAATAAAGCTTTCCACGTCTAACAGCTCGAGTAGCATACGGCTCTTCTGTGAGGAAAAGTACTGACTTCTGAATCAGTTGTCTTTCGCAATTCGTTGATTTGTCGTTGGCTTGGGGCAGCATGCAGACGACGCTTGATAAAAAGTGACCTGGTGATAGTTTCTTAAACGTAATACGTTCGTTGAGACTTGCAGGGGTAAAAAACAAATATGAACTTATTCCCGCCCTGTGGAGTCTTGAACTCACGCAGTAAGCACTAGCTTGTTTGTTTTTCGTTTTCTGAAATGATTCGGTTAGGACGGTTTGAAGATAAAGTTTCTTTTTCTAGAAGGTATGACTCGCTAAACTCAGCTCACCAATATTTTATAAGCTTCACCAGCTTACATTGCAGACAGATATTTAGTTCCTTTGACAGGAGAAATGCTATCCTGCTATCAAATCAAGGAAGTTCCCGCAGAGCAATGGCTGCAGTCCCAAAACACTTATCTATCGCTACCCTCTCAGACAATAGCGAAGTATCCATTTGGATTCCATTATACACTCTGAGTTGAATTACCCGAGAATGAAGTCTTTCAAGACTTTTAGATAACATTTCTTTACAGTGTTCGATGGCATGCCTAACTCTAGGAATACTTCGCTTTACACCGAATGAATGATGAAGAAAAAACGGTAATCAGGAAAGTGTTGCAGCTGAGCGAGTTTGGTGGCTCAGCGGTCATGTTCATATTGATGATTTGTACCTCCTATGCGTAGTCCTTGCGCGGTGTCCCAGACAAGCTGGGTGACTCATGAATGCTCCATAGCATATTCCCTCTCAATCACGACATACCGTTTCTGCGGGTCTTTATCTCAAAGTCATCCATTCCATAACCAAAGAACCTAATTGCCCATTTGTCGTGTTTTTATCGTATTGTTTTGTTCGTTCTTCACAAAAATACTTCACGCTCCAGAATACCGATTGTCTTACCTTAAAAGTTTTGGCGTAGGCCAATTTTGCTTTGAAATGTGCTTAGGCCCTTGGCTGCCCTTCAAAATCGTAGTGTCATTTGAGTGTGCCTCCGGACTACATATGTAGTTACACCCTTTTAAGTCAATGTTTCTACCCTTCTGAACGAATATGGTACCACTCACCGATCATGAGGGACAGAAGTCTCAATTGGCCTAAGCGACTGCTCAAACAAAATACAAGTGCGTGGCCATAAGTTTGCTAGCTTCTCCACTTGCTCAGTCCACCAATTATTGGCTCATTGTCAGTCGCATTTTATAATTAAAAGCAGTCAGACAGTAACGCTTTTCTTGGTGCCGCGGTTCCGGAGAGGCAGAACTAGGAGTTCTTTGACACTTTAGGGGTTAGAGAATTATCATGAAGAGAACGCATCATATCTCTTGGTTTGTTTCTTCACTAAGCCTTCCTTCAAATGTTTAGTTGTTGAAAATGACTTGCGTCCACACCACGTCTTTGAATAATTCGGTTCTGTGACGTATTTTGACGACACTGCTTCCATGAGCTATTATTTTCAATGAGATTTTGTGACGCAACATTGAGCCGGTTCCTTACCGTTGCTAATAATTAGGCAGATGAATCCTTACACTTGGAATGTCCAGATTTTTGAAGCGTCGATTGGCGACATCGTAATTGCAACAATGCAGTCCGGAATAGCGAACAGGTTGTGGGCCGTGGTGACTGTTGAATGGGTAACAAAATCGCCCCGAAATTGCTCTGCAACCGTAATAATCTCTTCGGTCACGGGCCATTAGCCTCTGGTCTTCGAAGGAGATCTTGAAGCAAGCTTTTTATTCACAATGTTTCCTCACTTCTTGAATTCCATTTAAATGTCCAAAACCATACTTTCATTAGAGGTGTGCATCGAGATATAAATGCGAGTAGGTGAAGTTATTACCTTCCATGAACCGTCCTGACAATTTTGACAGCCATTTAAACTGAGGGAATAGTAGTAGTTCCAAGGGGCGCACTACCATACTCGTTGTTGGGGGGAGATCGTTTCCCGGAGTGGGAGGCGTCCCTGCCAACCAACCATTTGGATTCACTTAGTCACTTAGTTGGCATTAGGCTCATATGGGAAGGCAAATACACATACACCAACTTGTAATGCGCTGTAACATTTCATTGTGTGGGCCCCATACGCATTCCATTCCGAATGGGATTCCAATGCTAGGGACATCGTATAATTGGGACTGATTAACGCCAAAAAACTTTACGCTTACCTACTTTATCGCAAGCAAGTGAACGTCCTCTGTATAAGCTCGTCCCTGTGTCAGGAATTCTTAAGTGCTCATGAGTGCACTGTCCGTTGTTCTTGTTGACCGTCGCCATTTCCTGCTATCTACCAAGCCTTCTGCTGCCACCTCGACTTCGGCGAGGTCCTTATTGACCACGTACCACCTCATCTCCTTTGGAATACCTCGCATTGCTCACCTTGAGCTTATGCACCGATTCCTTCCTTGCTTTGTCATCTCGTACCCTTCACAATACTCTTCCTTCCCATTACAGGAATGGTTGCCACCTTCGGCTGAGCAGCAGCTGTTCTAATGGCCCTCTGTTGTCTCCATTTCTAACTTCGTCAACACCGTGCCGCCAGCCTATTTAAACAACCTTAGCCCTGTGTAATGGAGTCATAGGGAACGGTGCCCTACGACCAGCACTCACTGCCGTAGTGCACCGTTGGCCCCACCGTCGCACAACATACTATCGTCTGGTAGCCTTCTGAAGCACCGCTGGTCGAAGAGGAACGAATGGACTCTCTTCAGGGCACCTATACCACATCTGCCAGCGCTTCCAGTCTGGAACGACGTACAGAGAGCTGAGCCGTTCCCTAATTAATGATGGTCTCAGCACTTTCGATGCATTCTCCAAGACAGTATGCAATTAGCTACCAAGCACTTGGAGCTTGGTAACTTTGTCTTTCCACTTTCAGCTGAAGCCCACTCTCCGCCAGGACGACTACCACTTCTGCAGCTTGCTGCGGAATTCATCTTGACGTTCATCTCTTTTGTCTGCTATCAGGGCGATGTCGTCGCCATAGAGGATAATTATCAGCGGGCTATCTACGGGCCCTTCTTTGAAGGCATCCACAATAATAGAGAGATAAATCGATTCAAAGTTGATTCATCCAGTACCGTTCAGTACCCCTCTTTGGTGTTTATACACACAGCATCATTCGACCTCCTGGAGGACATTTCAGTTGCTATCGTCCCACCACTTCGTTTTTGTCTATTCCGTGGTAGCGGGATTTGATATCTTTTCAATTTTTCTAGCTTCTGCTCCTCTCTAGCGCGTCTTTCAAAACATAGGGTTTCAATGTTCGCGCGAAATCAGGTATGGTCCTTCTTATGTTTGGAATGATTTGATCAGGGTGCGTTCGCAGATATTACGCCTAATTCCCTGCTCCAGAGGAATTTTTCGATACCGCTGACAGAAATGAGTCGCATGAAAGATTGCTACTGTTATCCTACATGGCAGCTTCCACGTTGTGAACAAGGAGAGTTTGACAACTTTCTCTACTTGCACTGGTCTCCTCTTATTCCCAGGTGCAACACTTTGGTTTTACTACAAATCATCAGATCCAGATCAACAACATCTAAAGTTCCTCTGTCAGTGATCTAACGTTCAGAGTTTCAATTTGAACTGAATACCATCGAGCGACAATTCTGTACACTACTTCCGGTGACGTCCTAAGATGCTTTTGTGAATCTCATATTTGTTGACACTAGATCCTCCATCCGAAGGCTTGCCGATGTAGACTTGACCTTGGTACCGGGTTGAAGGTATTACCAACATTCAACGATTTGCTACTATTTCCTAAGAAAGATTTACGATTGTTGCAGAAAAATTGCTTACCTTGAGACAAAGAAACTATAGTTCCAAGCAGTTTCCGAATTTGCGTCACCCAACATAGTGCTTACAATGAGCAATACTCAGGCTACGCTTAGCTATTTGAACCAGTTCTCCATCATACTCGAGACCACATAACAATCTGCAGAAATGAGCAAGATCATCATGAGAAGATGCTTCTCTAG